CCCCTTTGGAGGCCGAGGTGGCCGGGAGCGGGGCCCCGCGGGAACCTCGGTGTGGCGGGCTTTGCTATCCCAGCCTCCTCTTTGTCAGGGCTCGCTTCGATTCCTCCGATTCGATTCGATTCGATTTCGATGGATTCGATTCCGAATCGATTCGACTTGGGATTCCGATTTGGGTTCCGATTTCTCATTGGAGGCCTACTAGCCTGCCGATTTCCGCCGATTCGACGTTTTCGGACTCGGCTGCCGACTTCCGCCGATCCGATTCATTTCGATCGCCGATTCGACTTGTCGATTCGATTCTGGGCTCTCCTGCTTTGTTCGCTCCCACGCACGCTGTGCTTCGCAGGGCGTTCAACATACGGCCTGCTGGGGCCGTGCTGGGCTTGTGCGGGCCGCCCTGCGGCTCTCTGGCGCCCTCCCGTGTCTTGATAGGGCCTCTTGGCGGCCCGTCTCGGGACCATTTTTGGGACCGTCGGGGCTGTTTGGTCCTCTTTTTGTTCGTTCGGGCGATCTTTGGTATTTCTCGGGCCGTCTTGCGCTTTTTGAAGCCCGCGGGCTCTAGGGGCCTGTCTTGGGGCATCTGCGGGGCAGCCTGGGGACACCAGGTGGCAATCTGGGAGGCCTTGTCGTGTGCGTTGAGCAGCTGGGCGGGGAGCTTTTGGAGAGGGCCCAGGGTGCTGTGCCTCGGTGTCTGTGGCCGGGGCTCATGGGGTCATCTTTGAGCTCCATTGGGGCCCCCGTTCAGGGGCTCTCGTGAGCCTTTTTAGGCTGTCTCGAGCTCCTCCGGGAGCCCTCGTCGAAGGTCGTTGGGGCCTTTGGACCGTCTTCGGCTCGTCTTTGGACGTCTTGGGGGTCTCTAGGCCGTTTGTGGGGGCCCGAATCCCTGAAGAGCCAGCATGCGGAAGGCATGCTTGACTGCGCAGTTTTTGCTGGTTTGCCCCTGGGAGCTTGTTGGGATCCTCTTGGGGCGGGGGTGGGCAGACCTTCTACCCTGACACGTCGATTAGCGAATTGGCCGTTTTCGGTTCGCGAGGGGGCGTCGCGGCCGTCGTTTTTGCGGGTCCAGGTCCATCGGTTTCGGTCCCAGGCCGTTTTCGCTAAGGGGAGGTTTGTCCACCGCCGATTGGAGCGGATTGCGAGCTTGCTGCGCCGTCTTAGGGCGTTATCTGGCCATGTAGCTTGCTCTTATGTCCGCATTGGAGGCCTTCCGACGGGAGGCCGTCTTGGATTACTTTGATCGTCCAGGAGCCCATCTGAGAATTGGGAACCGTTTTCTGCGATTTGCCCGAGCCTCAGCGGCGGGTACGGTATATCTTGAAGTCGAACACACTGGCCCGTACCGATCTAACTTGTGAAAGTGTTTGTATCCATGATTTCCAAGAGGTTTGCGCCTCTGTGCCGACCCCCTTCGAAGTGAGGAGCCTCTGGAAATTGTTGGGACAAGTTCTGCTTTGCATTGTCGTGCATGGCGAGATGTATTGCAGACATGCTGGGCTATTACACGTGCGGGAGAGGGACAGCCAATAGCCCAGTCGCCGCGCACGGAGGCGATCGCCAGGGTCACCAAAGCGCTTGAACGCGACGCTACGGTAATCTGCGCGGTTGTCGCAAACATGTTGAGAGCGGGCTTGTCCCTCTACAGGAGGAAAATCAAAAAAAATGTTAAAACTCGTATGGGGACGATTTGTCTTTGATATTCGGCCATTTCTGATCATTATTTGGCTATGTTTTCTTCCCAACCATCCTGTGGTGTTGGGTTCTCGTTTTGAAGAGACAGCGCCCCGCGTTCCTCTCCTCTCCTCTCCTCTCCTCTCCTCTCCTCCTCCTCCTCCTCCTCCTCCTCTTCCTCCTCCTCCCCTCCCATCACCATCATCATCATCATCATCATCATCATCATCATCATCATCATCATCAGCAGCAGCAGCAGCAGCAGCAGCATCAGCAGCAGCAGCAGCAGCAGCATCCCCTCCCTCTCCCTACACCATCGTCACCATCTTCACCGTCACCCATCATTCATCAGCATCATCATCTGCAGCATCATCCTCATCCACATCCTCATCATCGTCGTCACCATCATCGTCCCCACCGCCCATGTCGTCACACCCCTCACACGTTTCGTGGCCCCACAGGAAGCCCCACCTAGGGCCACAGTGGCGGTGTTCGCATGCGCCTCCCCCACCCAGGACAGCCCCATAGGGAGCTCCACCGGAGGCCCCAGTGGGGGTGTTCGCATGCGTCTCCCCCGCCCAGAACAGCACTTCGTGACCCCATAAGGGGGGCTCCACCGAAGGCCCCACTGGGGGTGTTCGCATGCGTCTCCCCCACCCAGGACAGCGCTTCGTGGCCCCATAGGGAGCTCCACCGAAGGCTTCAATCGGGGTGTTCGCATGCGTCTCCCCCACCCAGGACAGCGTTTCGTGTCCCATAGGGAGCTCCACCGAAACTCCCAGTGGGGGTGTTCGCATGCGTCTCCCCCACCCAGGACAGCGTTTCGTGGCCCCATAGGGAGCTCCACCGAAGGCCCCACTGTGGGTGTTCGCATGCGTCTCCCCCACCCAGGACAGCGTTTCGTGGCCCCATAGGGAGCTCCACCGAAGGCCAGAATCGGGGTGTTCGCATGCGTCCCCCCCACCCAGGAAAATATTTCGCGGCCCCAGGGTGTTTCACCGAAGGCTTCAATACGGGTGTTCGCATGCGTCTCCCCCACCCAGGACAGCGTTTCGTGGCCCCATAGGGAGCTCCACCGAACGCCCCAGTGGGGGTGTTCGCATGCGTCTCCCCCACCCAGGACAGCGTTTCGTGGCCCCATAGGGAGCTCCACCGAAGGCCCCACTGAGGGTGTTCGCATGCGTCTCCCCCACCCAGGACAGCGTCCCGTGGCCCCATAGGGAGCTCCACCGAAGGCCCCACTGGGGGTGTTCGTATGCGTCTCCCCCACCCAGGACAGCGCTTCGTGGCCCCATAGGGAGCTCCACCGAAGGCCCCAGTAGGGGTGTTCGCATGCGTGACCCCCACCCAGGACAGTATTTCGCGGCCCCAGGGGGCTTCACCGAAGATTTCAGTCGGGGTGTTCGCATGCGTCCCCCCCGCCCAGAACAGCGCTTCGTGGCCCCATAAGGGGGCCCTACCGAAGGCTTCAATAGGGGTGTTCGGATGCGTCTCCCCCACCCAGGACAGCGTTTCGTGGCCCCATAGGGAGCTCCACGGAAGGCCCCACTGAGGGTGTTCGCATGCGTCTCCCCCATCCAGGACGACAGCGTTTCGTGGCCCCATAGGAAGCTCCACCGAAGGCCACAGTGGGGGTGTTCGCATGCGTCTCCCCCACCCAGGACAGCGCTTCGTGGCCCCATAAGGAGCTCCACCGAATGCGTTGCTCACAAAGGCGGTACTCACAACTGCATATGGTTCGGTGTTTCGCCAGGGTAATTGTTCGTCCCAAATCCGCCTGTAGGGGGACACGCCCGACCTCAGTGTAGAGTCGATGGCGCAGGAGAGAAGGAGGAGGAGGAGGAGGAGGAGGAGGAGGAGGAGGAGGAGGAGGAGGAGGAGAAGAGCATCACTGAAATATCAGGATCGCAAAAGAAGCATGAGGGTCGAGGACACCTGCACGCACGCGCAAGGGGTCCATCAGGAGAGAGGGCCTGTTCAGAGGTGTGGCCTTTCGGGGCTGCATGGGGGGCATTATGAGGGCGCCTGGATGCTTTTTGGGGGACTCTGGGGGCTTTCCTGGGACCCCTTGCGGCGGTGTCGGGGGCCTTCTTGGGGCAGAGGGCTCGAGAGCTCGGCGTGCCTCCTGGGGGCCTGTCAGCGGACACGGCTGGGGTCCCCTTAGGCTTGGCATCGCTCGGACGTGTGCATTTTTTTGGCGAGAACCATCGAGGACCATCCTAGACCATCGAGCAACAAAAAATCACGCACGAAACCGAAACATGCACGGGATATGGACGTCCGAGCGATGGCGAGCTTTAGGCCGTCTTGAGCGCCTCTTGGGCCCCCTCGGGCCTCCGACGGGCGTCTCGGGCCCCCCCCTCGGGGAGGTTCTGCTGGGTCGCGTTGCTGCCCCTCCTGGCGGGATCCGCCAGCGCCAGCGCCGGCGGCGTCGTCAGCGCTCCGCTGTGACGCCCGCGCGAGCCTGCGGAGCTCGCCTCTGCTCCTCCCCCTCCTCCTCCTCCTCCTCCTCCTCCTCCTCCTCCTCCTCCTCCTCCTTCCCCTATTCCTCCTCCTCCTCCTCCTCCTCCTCCTCCTCCTCCTCCTCCCCCTCCTCCTCCTCCTCCTCCTCCTCCTGGCCACATTGTAGCATCATGGAGAATTCCTGGACCTCCTCCTCCTCCTCCTCCTCCTCCTCCTCCTCTCTCCTCCTCCTCCTCCTCCTCCTCCTCCTCCCCCTCCTCCTCCTCCTCCTCCTCCTCCTCCTCCTCCTCCTCCTCCTCCTCCTCCTTCCCTCCTCCTTCTCCTCATTTCCCCTTCTGTGCAAGACCGGCTGCGCCCTGATGACTGGGCTCGAAGATGCCACAAGAAAACAAGGGTCGGTTTGGAAGCGTATTGGGAGCTTCCCGAGCCTTTGTGGGCGCTGTGAGAATGAAGGCGAGTGAGCTCAGCGTGTACGCTTTCCCAAGGCATTGGGGCGATTGCTGCCTCTTGTGACCCTTGTGGAGGTCCTTTTGGAGCCCCATTGGGGCTTTTCGAAGCCTCTTGGGCTGCTTTGATGCCCTCGTAGGTGTCTTTCAGGCTTCCTTGGCGCGTTAGAGCCCAGTTGGAGCACACTCATATGGAATCTTGGGCATGCTGGAGGCCACGGAGTTTGGATTTTGAGGCTCCTGAGGCCCCAGGGGTGCGTTGACGAGCTCGTGCCCCCCTGGGGGGTCTTCGGACGCGATTTAGGGTCCGGCGGTCCTGGGGGAGGGGGAAAGGGGACAGGAGAAGCGCGAAAGGCTGATTTTGCATGGGTTTGATGCGGCGTGTCGCTTCACCTTCTTCGCAAGAGTGGGGCCGCCTGCCAGGTGACCTCACCATGATCGCCGTGCCGACCGATTGCGTGGGCTTCGTGACAGGAGGGAGACGCTTCAGCAACGGCAGATAATATTTACCGTTGCCCTTCTGCACACCAGTGACAGTGTAGGATGACCACCCATCACCGCATCCTCTTGTGTGCGGTCATCACGAGTGGGGGGAACGGCAAAGTACAACCTGATAGCTGTTTCTATGACGGAAGGTGCGCATAGTTGCGATCCGGAAGAAATATAAATATCGCGGGGGATTGTCGGGAGCCTCGAGACGGGGGTCAATGCAAACGGGGGTCAGCCAGGGCACCGGATCCTGCCGGATCCTGCGAAGACCCCTTTTGGCTGACCCGGGTTAGCGAGCCGCTCGTGGCCCCGAGGCGGCCGCGCATATTGGTTGACCCGGGTTTGCGAAGACCTGCGTTGCAGTTTTTCTTCTTGCGTTGCAGTTTTTGGTTTCCTTCTGACCCGGGTCTGGATTCACCCGGGTCAGAAGATCCCCGAGATTGTGAGGGGTTTGGCCTCGGCGGCCCCAGCTCTAATGGCCCAATATTTCTGACATGGTCGGCCCTAGTCAGCTCAAGTCAGCCCAGAGAGCGCTTCGGAGGGCCCCAAGACGGCCCACGGCAGCCCCAGGAGCGCCCAAGCTACCTCCGCGACTGCCTCAGGGAGGCTCACAGGGTCCAAGATGGCCTCAAGACGGCCATGAGGCCCTCAAGACCCTGCACGAGGCTTCCAAAAGGACGCCACAGAGACAAGAATCGTTTCATTCCCGTCGGAAAACGTACATGTTTAGCATAACTACACATTTGGTCTTCACAGCGTCCACGACGGCAGAGCCCCCAGGATCGCCCCAAGTCGGCACAAGAGGCCCCCAATTAGGCCCCAATGACGTCCCCAAGACAGCATTAGAGCGCTTCAAGATGGCCCAAGAGAGTCCCAAGGCGACCTCAGAGAGGCCCTTGACCCCAAAAGGTTCCCAATAGGGCCCAAAGAGGGCCACAGGAGGGACGGTCACAAAGAGGGCCTCGGAGGTGCACGAGAGGGCCCCAAGACGGCCCAAGCCCACCAAGACGGCCCAAACACGCCCCAAAAGAACCTCAATAAGGTCCAGAGAGGCCATACGCATTGATTTCCGCAAGGTGTGTTGTTAGTTGTTTGTATGACGTTCCAAAGTCTGAACACCAAGATGGATCCAAGGTATTGAGCAAGCGATCTCGACCCCTCACAGAGTACAAGCGCGTTCCGTCCCCGTGCCAAGCAGGTTAATGGCCTTCGGGCCATCCCGCCACCGTGCTTGGGTTGTGGGTACACAGCCTTTGGGGACCGTTTTGGGACCTCTTGAGGCCTCTTGAGGGCCTCTTGGGGCCTCTTGGGTTTCTCTTTGGGCCTCCTGGGAGCCTCTTGGGACGGATGGCTCGGATCTCCGGTTCGTGGTCCATCTCTTGGGCCCCTCTTGGAGCCCTGGTGGGCCGTCTTGGGCGCCTCTTGGGGCGCGTTTGGGCAGTCGTGGGGCCCTGTTGGAGGCCTCTTGGGCCGTCTTGGGGTGGTCTTGGGGGCCGTCTTGGAGCGTCGGACAGCCGAACAGGAGAGAACGCCAAAATCCGTCAACAGCTTATTTGGACCATTAATGGTTTTGCCTCTTGGGGCCCTCTTGGGAGGCCTCTTGGAGGCCTCTTGCGGCGTCTTGGAGGCCTGCTGGGCCCTCTTGAGACCATCCTGGGCGCCTTGGAGCGATTTGGGGGCGACTTGGGGCCCTCCTGGGCGGGGCAGGCCGACGCAAGCGATTCCGGCAGCCCCCGGGCCGCCTCCTCCTCCTCCCTCCTCCCTCCTCCCTCCTCCCTTCCTCCCTCCTCCCTCCCTCCTCCCTCCTCCCTCCTCCTCCTCCCTCCTCCCTCCTCCCTCCTCCCTCCTCCCTCCTCCCTCCCTCCCTCCTCCCTCCTCCCTCCTCCCTCCTCCCTCCTGCCAGCAGACTCCAGGCCGGCCCGGGAAACGAGGGGCCCGGGCCTTTGAAGACGTACAATTCGGGCTGCATGAGCAGCACGGCGTGAGCCTTGGGGCATTCCATGTCGTGCCATAGGTGCGTGTATGTGTTTCACACATGCGCAATGTGTCTGCAAACAGTACATGTCTATAGACAGACACAGGTACACCACACTACAACTGTATGTATCTATCTACGTATGTGCGTATGGGTAGACGCGTGTGCATATCCTTATTTTTGAGTTCGTATCTATATACAAGACTGCATTGGCGCGTCGCGCCATGCACCTTGGTCCTTTAGGTTTGGCATGCAGGCGGAATGAGAGGGAAGCAGAGTAAATATAGCGATGTCTCACTGTTGCCTTTTACAGCATTGTCATCGTCGTTGTAATATTGTGTTATTTTCTCCTTCCTTCATGTTCCCTTTTGTGTTCCCTCAGGCTTGCCTTACCCTGCGAACCTCTCCGCAGCCTCCCCAGCTAGTTTGCTCCTTCTTGGAGAGCCTCTTGGGGACTGCATGAAGATGTTCAAATGCGTCTCGGGGGCGTATTCGCGTCACCCTGCTTCCAACCGCGGTCACCCTGAACGACCGGGACACGATTTGGAGTGTTTCGGGAATTGATTCGGGGCTGTCCTTGGCCGTCATATGGCTCCTCCCGCGCCCCACGTGGCCCTCCCTCCAGCGTCCGACTGCATCGGCCGGCTCTGGGGAAACAGACATGCACGGATGCCGTGGAGGAGGAGGAGGAGAAAGGAGAGGAGGAGGAGGAGGAGGACGAGGAGGAGGAGGACGAGGAGGAGGAGGAGAGGGCGAACCGACACGCGAGACCTCGGCCGCAGCACCAGGAGCCCACGAAAGTGGCGACAGTGGCGCAGTTTGCAGCCACCCATGGAGCTGCGAGATCTCGGGGAGATGCGTGTGCTCCGCTACTCCGCCGTGCCTCACAGGAGTCCAAGAAGGAGGCGACGGTTGCGCAGTTCGCAGCAACCCAGGGAGCTGCGAGGTCTCGGCTGGATGCGCATACTCCGCTGCTCCACCGTGTTCCCCAGGAGCTCACGAAATTGGCGACAGTGGCGCAGTCCGCAGCCACCCAGGGAGTAGCGCAGGAGGAGGCTGGAGGAGTGGGGAGGAGAAGCAGGGGAGGAAGCAGGAGGTGGTGCAACACAGTGTTTTATTGACCGCGGGAACACACCACAGGAGGGTTAGGACATTTAGACATGGAATTGCTTAAATTATTACATACATAGATATTGATATATTATGTCAGGTGATATATATATATTTATATAGATGTGAATACGTATATAGTAATGTGTATAAAGTAGAGTTGGCATTAATCAAGTACAGTGTATATACACTTGCACATATATATAGACATGTATACATATTCACATATGTCTGCCTGTCTGTCTGCCTGCCTGTCTGTCTGTCTGTATGTATGTGTGTATGTATGTGTGTATGTATGTATGTATGTATGTATGTATGTATGTATGTATGTATGTATGTATGTATGTATGTATGTATGTATGTATATATGTATATATGTATATATATACACATATATAAACATATATATATATATGTATATATATACATCTGTATCCAGCGACGGGGTCCCCCTGCCAAGGGGTGGCCCAGTTTTCCCAAACTCCCCCCCCTGGTTCAAAACAATAGTCACTGGGGGCCAGCGGGCATTTTCGAGGGCTCCAGGGTGCCCAGAGGCCGCCAGGACTGTTCCAGAGGCCGCCAAGACTGCTTCAAGACGGCCAAAGATGGCCGCCAGAGGGCCCAAGAGGCCCCATGATGGCCTAAGAGGCCCCGAAGAGGCCCCAAGAGGGCGCTCCGAGAGGCCTCCAAGAGGGCCTCGAGAGGCCACACAACATTGATTTCGCGGTGGTTTTCGATATTGTGCGCTTTCTCGCGTGTTCGGCCTTCCGACACCCCTAGATTGCCCAAGAAGCCTCGAACATCGTCCCAAGGCTGCCCAAGAGACCCCAAAGAGGCCGTCAAGGGGCCCCCAAGACGGGCCAAGCTGGCACCAAAACGGCCAAAAAGGCGCCCAAGACGGCCCAAGGGGGCTTCAAGACGGCCCCAAGAGGGGCCCACGACGGGGAAGAAGAACCAACAATTCGAGCCGTCCGCCGCAAGAGGCTCTCAGGAGGCTTTAAGAGGCCCCCAAGAGGCCTAAAAGATGCCCCAAGGCCCAAAAGAAGTCCCCAGAGGCACCCAAACGGCCCCCCATAGGATTCAACACCCCGAGAGGGCTCCCGCGATATGCCACCCCAACAGCCCAAGGGGCGCCAAAGACCGCCCAAGAGGGTCTCAGGACGACCCCAAGAGGGGCCCAAGAGGGGGAACACGAACAGACAAGTCGAGCCTTCCGCTCGAATAAGCCCCCGGGAGGCTTCAGGAGGCCCCCAACAGGGCCCAAGAGGCCTCCAAACGGCCCCCCAGAGGCGTCAAAATTGATCCAAAAGGCCCCCGAACGGTCCGTGGCCATTCATGCTCAAGACGTTTTGGCTCAAGGCTGTGGTTGCGCAGCCTCAGGCCTGTGGAGTTGCGACGCGACTCCGGCTGCTGGGCAAGCCATGCCGCCGAAACATCTGGTGACCACCAAGAACACGTTCTTGGACTGCAGGTCGCCGTGGCTGGAGCAGGCCGACATGGCTCAGAGGCCCAGCTCCGACCCAGGCTCTTGCACCGAGTTCTCGGCCAGCCTCTCGGAGGCGTCGGAGCGGGCCTGGGCGGACGTCATGCACGTCGTGGTCCGCCCGTCGCCCGCGGAGGCCGCTGCCCCCGCGGGCCCTGCCGAGAGTTCGCGAGCGGCGGCCGAGGCGGAGGGGAGCCTTCGCAAGAGCGTTTCGAGGACGCAGCGCCGCCGAATGCAGCGCAAGATGACGCAACATGCCGCCAGTGGGAAGTTGCCTGCCTCCTCGACGGCGCGCGGTTCGGACCCGAGGGAGTCCTCGTCTTCCACGGGCGAGAGGCCAGTAGATAGCATCACGCAGCAGCAGAGTCGTCGGCTGGCCAAGAACCACACCCGAGACGTCGACCCCGCGTCGAAGAA